TGATCCTTCATAAAGACGAGTACAGGGTACGACAGGACATTCGAAACAACCACGATATCGAGGGCCATGCCCTGTGCACCTGCAGGAAGGTACCGTCAGGATACGATGGGGCGGGCGCTTTAAGCCCTTTCCGACATAACAGTGCCCGAATAGTGTTGTAGGCACCGACTTTTGTCCCACAGTGTAGTAGGCGCCACCTTCAGTCCTCGGGCGCGGATACTAACACATGCATATGACAACCGCTACAATCCAAGGAAAAACTCACATCATCTACAATAACAGGCGTATAGTTGTCTCCCTGTCCGCTCCCCGCAGAGTCATGGCTCGGCGCCCTGACACCCCGCACCGTCTGTCGGGGAGGATGGGACGTAACCACTCGCTGAGGCAAGGCCAAGGCGTGGCCCTGTCAGGGTCAGCGAACGTACCATCTCTGGCACGGTCTGCCATGACAGTGGTACAGGCTCAAGGGAAAAGGAAAGCTCAGCACCTACGAAGACGCACCTCCACGTTAGGTTTTTTCCTCTTTCTCCCATCTGTAAACCCCCTGCTCCCCCTTGGTCTATAAAAGGGAGGGCAGGACTCGCCACAAAAGGAGATCAGTTCGACAGACACAACACATCACGCATACAGCCAAGCAGCGACCAAGCTATTGACGTCCTTTCGACCATTCCATCAGAGACTTGGGACATTTCCCTCTCTCGACCGTTTGTACCCCATACTACGAACATTTTTCGGTACTAATAACACGAGCAGCAGCAGACTGGACATAGGGACATTCAGCCCGAACCAGTATAAACATCGTGTCCTTTAGTACACCATCCAGACCTAACGCGCAACAATTATAAATTTACTCGCCGGTGTTTGTTCGAAGCACCAACACATAGAACAACACAACTCTTGTAGTAAGAGCTATAGGGCTCCCGCGTTGCGTCACAACCCCATACATGTATTAATTTGTAATAGGTCCAATATTAAACTCCACTACTAAAACTCAGACTCGACACGTCACCACTGCTCAAACAAACTAAATTCTGATCAGAGACACATTCAAAACGGAAACAAACAAAAGCTATGTACTAAGAAAAGTCAAAATTACTTATAACCATACTCACAAATTGTCTTAAACAGGGAGTACCACTACTGTGTTCCATCATCATGACTCATGAGCTTGTCTTAGTAACCTTTAGGGCAGTTGTGTAGTACAAGAGAGAGAGAGAGGACAACTGAGGCGGTAAGTTTTGTAAGAGTTTTAGTATGTAGAATACTAGTTGCTATTGACCATACAACTTGCACATATACGTTTAAAACACTCTATATATACCGTGCCTAGACTATAAACATGGGTCACGAGTTTGGATCATGGACGTGATTGTAAACTACGCATGAACCTTTTATCTCTAATTTATCACATATTACTATTTTTAGTAAAATCGGCCAAGACTCTTATGCTCTCGAGGAGTGGACGGATGGGTGAAAGAGTGTGACTGGCTAACAAATGAATGGAGAAGTTTTCTCCTAGATGTACCACCAATAACAACGGTGATAATTAACCTACCTGTGGTGAATGGGGTTTAGAGTCGGCAGTGACGAACAATCTATAGAGTAATATATAGTAGGATTTGAGGACGAGCGGGCAGGAGCGGCAGATCTCCAAGGAAGGCGTGTGAGCTTGGCAATGATGGATCTCCACCATGAACGACCGATAAGGTGGTGCATCAACGGCTGGCGGGGTGGTGCGCACCATATGCAGGTCGGCATCGAGATTGGCGATGATGTTTGTAACACCCCTGGTGTTACGGACTTAATAAAACCTTGATCATGATCATCATCGTGCAAAAGCATTGTGGCATAAATGCATTCCATGTTTCATTTATAGCATATATATGTTGCCTAAGTATTGTTTTATACGTTACATGAAATGTTATCAATGTTAACAATAATCTCAATTAAGGTTCTTTGTGAATTTATGTATGTGAAATTCCTTAAACAAATAAAATTTTGTTAAAATAAACTTTGTAGTTTGGAGTATGCTCTTTAATATAAAATAAATGTTGGTTTGAGTTTTCAAGTCAAACATGTTTAATTTGGAGCCCAAAGATTGGATTTAAGGTTGATTTTCAAACTTGGTCATTTTTCTGTCCCTGAAAATCAGTGTTTGAATTCAAACTTTGGTGATTTATCAAATGGATTTTTATGAATAAAATTTATCCCCACTTTGTTCCATTGTTTGGTACTATGTTTGTACTTTGGTAACGTATAATTAGTTGTGTTGTTTGATCCATGTTTAGTCAATAATTAATTACCCAAAAATGCTTAATCAAAACTGTTTTTCAAACTGAAAATTTAATCCAGTTTTCAGTTTCATGTACTTGTTTTCAAAATTCCAAATATTGCAAACCATCAAGTTTTTTATGTTGATCCTTAAATAAAATATGACTCTCGGAGAAGAACAACTTTGGCCCCGTTCGGCTTGCTGAATTTTGGCTGAAACTGGCTGAAAAATACTATTCTGGCTGAATGGCTGTGAGAAAAAAATACGGTTTTGGTTGAAAAAACAATCAGAACAAACCGATGGACACGGGGTAAGCCGAACGGGACCGGCAGCTGCCTCCTCTGTTTCTTCTTCGCCGCTCGCCGTCTGCCGCCTGTCCCTTCGCGGCGCTTCCTCGCGCCTGTACGCGCGGCCGTCACGTGGTCGACTTCGCGAAGACGCTTTCAAGGTCGTGACGTCGCCCTCGTCTATAAAAGCTAAGCACCGGCAGCCGTGTTCTTCTTTTTCTTCTTCCCGCCACTGCCGCCGAGCTCCAATTCGCCGACGATTTCTCTGCCACCGTTCGCCCTCGCTCCAATTGCTCGTACACGCAGCTCCGCCTCGTCCTTTCGCGTCCGTTGAGCCGCTCGTCTTGCCTCTGGCCATCGGAATCACCCCGGCGCCGGTTGCCGCTGCAGCCGTCCATCATGGCCGCCGCGAGCTCCTCGCAGTGGTCAGCCGTCTTGGGTTGTTCTCTCGCTCTCTTTTCATTTGTGCTGTATTCTTCGTGGTCCCTTTATGCTCTTAGGCTCGCTCGTTGCTCCGTTCTTCCTCAAGTTTCGCCAGAGCACAGCTTGCCGCAGCGTCCGCTGCTGCAAGTTCGCCGGCGTACGTGGCCAGTCCTCTACCGACCGTCTCCTGCCGAGTTTTGACCGCCCACGGGTGCGACCGGGCATGGAGATTCTCTGGAACCTCTACCTCATCGCGGAAGAGCATCAACCGGCCGGAACCGAGCCTCGCCGTGCGCCTCCTCTGCTCCGAATCGCGACCAGGGACTTGCGCTTCAAATAGAAGCTTTTCCAGGGGGCTAACTGCACAGACCGTGACTCATATGAACAGTATGATACAGGGTTTTTCTTTTTCCTTTTTCTGTTTTTGACTGAAAATTGTGAATTTCATAACTAATTTTATAAGTGTGATAAAATCATGAACGTTTTTGTGTAGGCTCTTCATGACGTGCTATATGTAGCAAAAATATGAAACCATGAAAATCAATAGTTTTTAGATGTTTAAAAATTAGCTCTTTTAATTAATAAATGCTTGTTTCATGATTTTTGTAGGCTAAAATAAATATCCTTTAGTTGTGAAACTTTTTGTGTAACTGTTTTTATGCTACGATCAACCTATACAAAAAGTTTGGGATTAATTGGATGATGTTTAATTATATCCTTAATTATATGCTTAGTTAATTAGTTAATAAATATTAAAATGATTAGCATAAATCATAATAAGGCTTGGGTGTAATTGTGGAGTTGATTGTAGACCATGAAACACATTCACCCCTGCTGTTTCATGGCAAAGTAATTACTATCTTGTTATAATCATAATCAACTTGAGTTAATGAACACTAAAAATGCTTTTTAGTTAATTAAGCCTTTCTTTGGTGAATGCATGTATGTGATCTTGATTGCTTCTTAGATACAACATCCTGGGTAAAATGATTAAGCTATGTATGTTTCTCCATGTCCAGGTCTTAATCATCTAAGTAGATATATCTTTTGTAATAACTAGAAGGCATGTGTTGATGTAGCTTATAAAGTCTTGCTTAGCTTTACCTTGGATGCATCATGTCATGCATTCCATCATGCTAAAGCATGCATCATTCGTTTACGTGTAGTGCATATGTGAGTGAGAAGGTTCGTGTTGATCAAGTGTTGGAGAAGGTTCATCCATCAGTAGTGATGATGTCAAGTCTAACTCCGCGGTCTCTCTGTGGAACTAACCTTCTCTGCAGCACAGGCAAGCCCTAGAGCATACAACCCTATCCTTGTTGTTTACAAATACTTTTATCAATTGCGTCCAATAAAATGTGCATTAAGTAATTAGGCATTGGGTGAATACCAATTGCTGCATGACTATCTTGATATTCAGATATCTTCCTTGTCACCCCACTAGTATGTAGGTCGTTTCCTCTAATGCTTAGTATTGCTTAGACTACGATAGAAGCCGAATGATGGTTTATCGTTTGAGAGAAATAAGTTCTACTTGCTCTTTTTGGCTCCGCTTATGGGTCATAAGAATACAATAATGATGATAATGTTAAATGAAAATCGGACGGGACGTGGGAATTGTCTTTTTGGTGGTTAAGCCGATAGGGTTGACTGGTCGTGCTTGTCCCATTTGTATCGATTAAGGACCGATCGTTGTAGGGCCGCTTTAGGTCGAGACTTTGCAGTACCGACCACATACTCCGGTAAGCCTAATATTTCTTTAGAAGAAGAGAGGAACAAAATGCTCTTGTTTTTTTTTTTATATATATCAACAAACAAAATGCTCTCATTCGATCGAGGGAAAGTTGAGACGGGCTGGCAGTTTGCTGAATAATGACCATCTGAAACTCTGGCCCAGCCAGTTTAACTCCAGTAGACAGTAGTAACGGTCGTCGGACAGAGAGCCTAGGTTTTGCTTAGCAGCGACGAGCGATCCTCACTCTCACCAACCGCGCCGACAGCAGCAGCAGCGTCTGGTGATGTCGACGATCCTCGACCTCCCACCGGAGATCCTGGAGGACATCTTCCTCCGCCTCGACGATGCGGCTGACGTCGCCCGGGCCTCCGCTGCCTGCAAATCCCACCGCAGCGTCGTCTTCAACCGCCAGTTCCTCCGCAGGTACCGTTTCCTGCATCCTCCGCCCGTCCTCGGATTCCTCCTGGAGTCCATGGGGAACGCAGGATTCCTCCACGCCGAGGAGCCGCACAAGTCTGCCCCTGCCGCTAGCTCCCTCGCGCAGGCGGTAGACTTCACCTTCTCCTTCCTTCCCACGGATCCCAACGCCAACTACGGCAGCAGAAGCTGGCGCGTCTGTGACGCCCGCGATGGCCGTGTCCTGCTCTCCCGTCGCAGCGCCACCTTCCTTGACCTCGTGATCTGCGACCCCTTGTACTGCCGGTACGACGACATCCCGCCTATCCCCGAAGATCTGTGGGCCAAGCGCTACAGTACTAAGATGAAATCCGAGCCCTTCCTCCTGCCAGCTCGGGAGGAGGAAGACGAGTCCCAGTTCCGAGTGATCTACAACTGGGTGTGCAGATACAAGATCATCACCTTCCTCTTCAACTCAGACACTAGAAAATGGAGTGTGGCTACGTCTTTCAGCTTGTTATTACCCGACAGGCTGATTTATGATCCTATGGATTTTCTGCGCCACTATGTTGGCTGCTGCTTCTACTGGGTGCATCATCGTGTGTCAAACTATATGATTGTGCTTGACCCGCTTGAGATGGAATTCTCCATCACCGGTCTCCCTTATGGGACAGATGATGATATGCTAGGGCTGGCCGTTGTTGATGCAGGGGTGAACAGGCTTGGCATCATAGGTCTTTAAATCTCCATTCTAAGACTTGGGAAAATAATGTTGGTAGTACAGAGGAGTGGCAACATGACAGGCATCACACCTTGCCTGAGGGCTACAAACACTGCCACATTATTGGCGCATCCGGGGGCTGCTTGGTACTTGTAGACTACAGCGTGCAAATAGTACAGTATTTTATAATGGACCCGAAAACATTTCTGGTTGAGAGGTTCTGCAAGGGCAAGTTGCTGCATGCAGTTGATCATGCTCTCCCGTATGCAAGATTCCCACCATCATTGTCACCGCCGAGTATATGAAATAATGGTAAGAACCTTCCTTAGCTTGTCTCGCTCATTGGTAATTGGATTGTTCTGTTGGTTTGATCTTTCATCTTACTTGCATACATACTGGATTTATATATATTTGGTGCATCCAAATTATCTCATGTTCTCTAATATGCATGGGCCTCCATGAAGAGTTTACTGCATATATAAGAAGTTATGTTCTCTAATATGGTGTGTACCAATATAGTATAGTACATGTTTTTTTGGGTGTGTGTTGGTGTGTGTGTGTGGGGGGGGGGGGGCTACTTCCTACAGAAGATTAGTTTATTGTGACCTGACATTATATTTATTTATATTTTCAAAATATTGTTGAAAGCTATAAATTTTTTGATAAATAATACATCTGTCCTTTACAATACAACTTCTCTTCGGAAAGGTCGGCAAAAGCTTTGCTGAAATATATTAGTAAAGGTAAAAAAAGGTATTTACAAAAAAAATTACAAATCTTGCATAGCTCACCCTAGCCGAGCACCTGCAGCTTACAAGACAGACTGAACAAACTCGGGAAACAAAAAACTATGAACAGGTCTTAAAACTAGAAAAACTGCTTCCTTATATCCAGATTGATCATTTCCAAATGCAAAATCATGCTCCTGTATGTCTTCCTTGATTAGGTAAGCAACTTCTAGCGGCTGTAATTCCTTGTGCTGAAAGGTTCTATGGTATCTTTCCTTCCATATGTTCCACCAAAAATAGATTAAGATCCCAACAAATTCCTTTTTTTCTGGCCTTATCAATTCTTCTCCTCCATTTCTCCCAACTCTCTAGACTGAACCCTGCAAGATAGGACCCTCCTGTGAAGCTAAGTTCCACCACCCACTGATGATCACCCAGACTCTCTTGCTAAAGTTGCAATCTTTGCATAGGTGTCTTGGGTTTTCCTGCTCTCGCTGTTACATAACTTGCAAATTAGGTTATTCGGCTATCCTTTCTTTTATAGAATATTTGCTGTCAGAATTTTGCCACGCATCAAGGTCCAGGTGAAGAACCTGCATTTTGGTTTGGCTTTGGCCTTCCAAATGGGGCTTACCTTCAACTTATTACTATCTCCCCCGAATTGAATCCTGTAAGCACACTCTTAGAGTCACCATTTGCTGTCCATCGCCATGTAAACTCGTCTTCGTTTAGCATGTTCCGTGGGATGCTCGATATTAGCTCCCATAGCTATATATATTCTTTGATCTCGTGATCCGAAGTAATAGGCATCAAATGTGTAGCCCATCTGTTGTTGTTGAGAGCTTCCTGCACCGAAATGTTTTTTCTTAAGGCCTTGTGATACAGATTTGGTGCGATATTTCTTGGTGCTTTTCCACTAATCCAAGAGGATAACCAGAATTTTGCCATGTCACCTTTTCCTACTTTGATCACTGTGGAAGCATGGAAAAGATCTGTGTCTATTTTATCGCATGGGATGTCAAGTCCAATCTAGGCCATTTCTTTGTTTTTGCATTTAAACCACATCTCCACTTAAGGCAAAGGGCCCTCGCAAGCCGTTCCAGGTCTAGTATACCAAGACCTCCTTTGTCTTTTGGCCGGAAAGTGATTGGCCAATTTACTAGACAATGCCCTACGCTCACCTTTTTCGGTTTACCCCCTTTCCATACGAATGATCTTCGCAGCTTCTCAATCTTTTTTATCAGCCATTTCTTTGCCGGGAAGACAGTCAGGTGATTTATTGGTTGTGATGACAGAACTGTTTTGACTAGCGTTTCCCGAGCTGCCTTAGTGAAACATTTTCCTTTCCATCCCGGTAGTCTTGCCCCTATTTTATCTATGAGCGGTTAGAATTCGATTTTCTTTAGCTTTGTTGTATGTAGTGGCAGCCCCGGATACTTTTACAATACAATTCTTTGTGTCATTTTTTGTGTACTCTACAGACTGCATAGCTAGCATTTGTTTGAGTACTAGAGCAAACAAAATGTTCTCATCTTTGTAGGAACCATTTGTTTCATCAGTAAATCGAAGTATCTGTGTTCACAAAATGAAAGAGTTCTCCTTCTCCAAGTCCAAGTTAATTTTTTTCATAAGCAGGGTCACATGGTTATTTTTTCTAGGATCATGTGGAGTTGTGGACACACTTCAATACATCTTGATGATTCTTATGATGTAATCTTGATGATTCTTATGATGTAATCTTTCATTTTTCAGCACTCGTGTCACATTGGCCGTTATTAAGGTGACAGGGGCAACGTCAGCTGGTGGCACTGCCTGTTTGATGGCTAAAGAACATATATCATGCATGTAACATCTCCTCGAATATCAGTTTGAGGGCAGAAGAATACTGCACAATATATCTGCTGCTACTGGCGGATGATATGTATCTGTAGTTTGATCTCCTGTGTTTGTAGTCATGCTACTCCTTTTAAGTAATTTGGAACTGGTCAATCTGCTCGTGGGGCATCTAGGACCTCCTCGCACTAATATTCTCCTATGGTAGGAAACTGAATGTGGTACCTTGTTCTATCTCTAATAATCTTCTATCATGAATTTTTTGTGTGTGGGATGCTGGCTTGCTTGGTGATACAACCTTCTCCAGGTGCTGTTGTGCAATGATGTCGAACTTGGAAATTCATCAGTGTGCGCAGAGCAAACATGTCTGGAACCTGGTTTTTGCTTAGTACTATTCGGATTGTCACACATTAGCCTGCAGTATCAATTGTTGTGTATACATGCTGGCTGCAAATTCTAATTACGTTTTATTGTAAATGGCAATGGACGCCTTGTTATTTTATTTCATTAAAATTCAAGAACGCACTTGTGAACTGAGTTCATATTTTTCACTTCGGGCACTAATGCTGAGGCCCAAATTGGAGTTGGGGCATTTCATGCAGACAACTTGCGGGATGAAGCTCAAATTGGACCAGAAACACAGAATTAAAGGCGCATGGTTGGCTTGATGAACAGGTTTTTTTTATTAATTTTTTTTTTTTGGATCACGCAAAAGATTTGCGCATCTTTGTATTAAGGTAGAAAAAATGTTCGTTACAACACGCCTTAGCGGCGCCCTAGGGGGTTAATAAAGCTTTACACGTACTCTCGGACCCACTCTAATATACTGAAAGTTAGGCTATTATATTGGACATTGAACAACCCAAACTTGCAGCAATGGCAAGGAGACCTATGCCCGGGCTGCCGAACGGCAGCGCTGCTTGCACGCGCCTACCTCGCCAACCGGGGGAAACAACTCACGTAGCGTCTGCATATGAGAGGGGTCACTGTTGAAATTTCATCATACGCCTTCTTGGGCGACGTCAATGAAGATGGCCTCCCGCTAGATAGTCCCAAGCGCTTCATGACAAAGTACTCACGTTGTTTGGCTGCCGGGATATGAGCTATGCTCTGCGCCGCTATCCGCCAGCTTCGCTTGGGGAGCGAGGGCGGTGCACGTCCGCCGAGCGCTGTATCGTCCCTGGGTAGCTCTAGAAGTGGCAACTGCCTCCTCTTTGTGATTCGCTCTGTGAAGCGCTTAAGGCGTCTGTCGGCCGAGGTCATCTAAGGTGAGGAATTGTGGTTGACGTCTTCCGTTGTAGGCACGATTGTTGCGTCTCCCAGGGTGGTTTCCTCGACGTTGGCCAGCGCTAGGCTCATGGGCCGGATGTCTTGGCCGTGTCCGCACCTGGGGGATGTCGCTACAAGGATTTGACTCTTATAGCACCACTTGTTTTCGCAACACCACACATTTGGTTGCAATATTTGGTTCTATGGCAACCAACGTCATAATTGGTAGTGATATATGGGCCTTATGTCCACCAAAATTGTGTGTTGCGTTAGTCATAAGCTCCGTTGCAAGAGGTAGGCGCTGATGCCACGATGGAAAAGGTGGTTGCGAGTATGAGTGCATATTGCCACAACTAGTGTTGAGTTCTGATAACATTGATGCCGCGTTGCGATATCTAGGTGTTGTTGCCACCATTGTAAAGTTGGTTGAACGTAGTTGCGCATATGGCCATGATGTAATTACGTTGTTTTAATTTTGACCTGCGTTGCGATAGATCTTGCTATATTGCATCTAAAAAATGATTAGTTGCAAGTAGTTGTGATTATAGCCACGATGAAACTCTGTTGCCTTAATCTTGCCCATGCATTGCAAAAGATATTATTATATTGTATCGACAAAGTCATTCATTGCATCTGTTGAGGTTATATTGCCACCAACTTTATATGTGGCTATATTTGAGTATATGTTGTTGCAAGAAGAGTTATATTGCCATTAAAACTTGTCTGTGGGCATTACATGTGGTGCTCGTGGGACAAAAGCAAAGGGTTTTCCAGCCCACCAAGCGAGCGATCCTGATGTCCCTGTTACCCGCAGCAACCATCCACCTATGTACGTACACATCTAGGTAGCATGACCTTCGCCATCTGATCCTGCAAAATAAGCCTTGCGGCATTAACTCTTACTTATCCCTTGTGTGGAGGAGCAAGCTCACGAAGGTGAAAGGGAGGAGGCAGGGTATCTCACCCAACAAATTGTGATAGATACAAGCAAGTATCACTATTGTAGATGTGACCTTGGTGGCGTTTAGTTTTTATCATAAACCGATGTTTTTATGCCAAAGTGTATCCTGTGACCAAACAACCATCGTCACATAAGGTGCATCTCTATACACATTCTATGACGAATGGGCATAAAAACATGATAAAATTAGTAACAAACACATGAATCAATTGTCGTATGGACAATGAAGT